AAAGAAATGATAAGCAAATAATTACCTAAATACTGTTGTAAAGATCTCAGCAATCATCTTACAAAATCTTCGTTCATGTCATATTGAATGACTTCCCAATGGATGAAACATTTTAAATGTTCTGAGAAGTTGAAAGTCTTAAAAATGTTTAATGAAGTTCCACCTAAGAAATGAATGCGCTTCACGATGTTAATTATAACAAATCCAATTGAAACGGAAGATTTGATTCGTCACTGGATATTCTAGTTCAGAGTCGCGCCATTTGAGAGTTAAATGGATTAAAGCGTTTAAACGGCAATTAAAGTCATCGATCCATTTCATGCATGATTCATCAATCGAAGACGACGCAACAAAATCTTTGATAATCTGAAGAAGTTTAATTTGAATTTCATTTCGATTTCGCGCTTCAAACTCAATCTCAGCCGCAATCACAATTAATTGACCATTAAACAATGAATATTTAACTCGTTAAGTCGTTTAAAGTCGGCTACTTCCGACGATATCGAATGCATTTTTAATTCAGATTTCGCTTTGAAATGAGAAAGCAATTTACGCCGCCACCGCCGTTGCTTCTTTTTCAGCCTTCATTGGTGACAAGATTTATGATTTTATTGTTGTGATCTTCTGCATAAAAGTGAATCGACTCAAGCCCATTTCTTACCTTCCCTTCCATTCATTGAATTAATTTGAATGTCATTCTCGGACTGGCGGCACTTTATCGACTCCAATTCAGGCATCATTGCCCATTCGATTTCGATTTCGTTCTGTTGTTTGTTCCCTTCCCACTTTCAATGGACCAACAAACAACAAAAGAAATCCAATAAGTGGGAACATGAATATTAAGAGACCAAGTTCAGCAACATAAACAAATGTTGCGCGAAGACGTGCAGAGAAAAGTGTTTAAGAATGTTTTGTTGTGATGCTTTAAATACTTTGACATAATTTATGTTCGACTGTTGGGTTCCAATAGCAACAACAAACGAGCAGTGAACAACGTGAAATCGATCGCTGTTTAATTTCTCTTTTATTTTTTATTAATGGAACTTTATTTTGATCAGTGGTGCGTAGCTTGAATTGATCAAAAATTCTTTTCCATTTCTCATCAGCCACTCTCGAACTTCGACGTCACAATCATTTCGAATGTATCTAATTGCTAACTCGTGTAATGTTCTCTTTCAAAGATTATCATAAACTGATTCGAGATAAACTCAATTTCTTCCATTTTCAATCCCATTCTCTGGCTTTTGCTGTTCAAATCGTTTCGTCTTCTTCCCAGATCTATCGCCATCCATGTATCATTCCATTGTTCTCTAATTGAATGTTTTCTTTCTTTCGTTTTATGTTTTTCTTGGTGTTGTCCTCTTGCTATCTTCAGATAAATAGTTGAAGAAATAAGAAAACGACTGAATTTTAATTCACATTGTGAACATTTTTATGAGACACAATTTATCAATTTTTGTGATTCACAGAAGCGGAAAGAAATTTCTGACTTTTTTGCACCCTCGCAGTTTGCTTTTTATAATCCGAAATGAGAAAAGAATTAATTGAAGTGTAACTTTAATGAAATGAACGAGTGTTGTGTTTGTTAAACGCTTTCACAGCTAAAAGTTCTTCTCAAATGTTGTTTTCTCATGATTTGTCTCGCTTCAAATCTCCCGGAAACACGAGCTTGTATTGCTGGATAATTGTTATTCATAATGCAACGTTACCGGCATATCAATTCACTTTCTCTCTCCCATTCATCTAACAATTATGGTCTGCGATATTAACTTTTAAATCTTCGTCCCTCATCTGCTTCGTTTAATTGAATTTTAATCTCAACATCATTTTGAGTTTGCCACCTGCACATCCAGCATAATTTTGCATGCAATCGTTTTTTTCCTGGCTTAGTCGTGAATTTCTCGTGCTTTTTGCATCGATTTGAGCTCAATTATTGAATTGTTCAGATCATGTTTTACATCAGTCGATTGAGAGGTTTAAAGATGAATTAAGTTAATTTCTCAAAACCGGTTTATTTACTTAATCGATGCTTTTAGCGAGCAAACTTTGTATGAAAATGCTTTGAAAGTGAATTCATGGAAATCATGTAAATTGTGAGGTTCATTAACAATGTCGTGATGACTTACAGAAGCATTTCAACTCGAGAGGGTTCTTGATTAAATTTTATTAGGAATTAAGATCATAACGTGCTCACATTACAAACATTTGAGAGTAAATGAAGCAACATAAATTATGTAAATTCATAAAATGCAACGCCGCAACCTTTTTTCTGTTCTTTTCTTCAACCCACTTTCAGATTCTTAACTCCAAATGTGTTAAAATAAGACGAAATCCCTTAATTAAGTTAAGTATGTGATGCACTTCATCTGCTCGTGTCGATGTTGTTAGCACATTTTCAGACGATCGAGTTCTTTTTTCACAGAAAGAATGACACAAAAACAGATACGAAGAAAGTCAGAAATATTAGAAAAATCAAAAATGTTTTCTGTCGTGCAGACAGCAAACATTAATCGCATCAAGTTACTGATGGTGATGATGCCAGATGATTTGCTCAAAAATATTCATTCCACTTTAATGGGACAAATATTTCTCTTGAATTCATCTCAAGCCTACATCGAGAGTTTGTTTTTGTTGTTGTTTCAGATTTCAAATGCTCAGAACACACACAAACGTTACTCGAATCATCTTTCGCATTTCCCGCCGTCGGAAAATGTTAGCAAAGAAATTAATGAAGACAGTCAGCATGTTCCATGTCGGTTTTCGATTTTCTTAGAGTTCAAAGGGAAAAACATTCACTTCTAAGCAGCTTGAACTCTCTCTGTGAACCTTTAAGCTTCCATTTGAAGTCGAGTTAATGGCGAACATGTCACAACATTCCTGCAAATCGTTTTAATTTAATTTATGTTCAATCGCATGGATGAATTTATTTCAAAACTTCTCCGAAACATTAACGAGACGAAGAATTCAGCAAAAGTTTGAACAGAGTCGCTGAAATGAATTTTTTCTTCACTTCAAAAGACGCGTAAAGTCGCTTGATTTGAAATATGAACAACTATAAATAAATGCAAAGTTGCATCTCGTTTGATGTTCACAATGATCAACTTCAAGATATAATAGAAATGTTTAAGCAACACGAGACGAATTAATCTTGATAGATGTGTGTACTTTCTTCTTTCACTCACTCAGACTTGGTTAGCAGCACATGAGAGAGAAATCTTTCGTTCAAGTGAAATGTTTGTCATCAACACAGTCGCAGCTACAGTCAGAAGAGAGACATTCAAGACGAGTTAATAAATCTAATCGAATGAATGAATGTGGAATTCAACAATGGAACAATTAAAACCTTCACAACGAGAAGTGAATCTCAGTCCATTAAAAGACCATTCGGAAGTTATTCAAATTCTTTCCAAAAACATTTTAATTGCATTTCGCTTTCATCCTAATTTAAAATTCCACATAAAGAAGCAACTCAAGTGTACCATCGAGACCATCACAGATTTCTTTACTTCTTCTTCCTGCCACTGAACTTGCCTTCAAGTGTTCGTTCTTCCATCGTTTCTGTGTGATTTCGAATTGACAAATGCACTTGGAATATTAAAACAACTTATTATTATTTTTTCTGACTTCTCTGATTCTCAAACCTTCGGAAAACATTCTTTTACTCATATTTTGTCATCTCCAGGGAAATGCAAAAACGTTCTCGAAATCAGATATTCAAATAAACTTTTTTCATTTGAGCTCCCTGAATCTACTCGAATTTCACAAAAAGAAATCTTTAAAAGATTTTAAATATTTTTCTTTGCTGCCTCAAGAGTGTTTTCATTTTCATTCACAAGAAATAACAAGTTAGCTGGGAATTGAGGCAAAGTGAACCTCTTCGGCGGAATAAATATGAACACGACGATGATGAAGAATAATTTCAGGAAGGTATGCGATAATTTGATTTATTCAGTTTCACAAGCCGAAATGAAATGAAACAAGTGATTGTCATGAAAGAATTTTTTCAAATTTTACAAGCAATTAGTTGAGCGGCCCATCGAACGTGAAGACAAACCATTGTCGGCATGAATGAATGAAACAATTTCACACTTCTTTAAATTAATTAAATCAATCGTAGGCTATTATTCGCTTGGATTTATTCAATCTTCACATTCACGCTGAGGTATGTAAAGGTTGATTCGACATGGACATAATGAGTTAGTCATAAGTATGGTGATATGAGACAAGACACATTTTTGATGTCAATACTCCCAGCGTTTTAAGAATGTCTACTTTGTAAATTTAATTAAATCAAATTGAAAGTGAAAGTATCTTATATCAAAGTTAAACGTTCGATTTTGCCCTCCCCTTACTTTGTTTTTGTCTTTAACACATTTTTTCCCTAAATCATTTTCAATCATCTTAAGTCAAATTTCATCATCGCATTAATTAAAAGCAATTTTATCTCACTGGGATTTTTTTCAAGTTACAAGTAATAACACAGATTAAACGAAATAATGAAATTTTTATAATAAAGGTGGACAAGCTGATCAAATTGTAATCGAAAAAAGACGAGTGAGATTCGAGTGGTTCTTTTATGAAACGTTTTGGTGTTGTAAGCAGTGGTTAAGATGTGAAAAGAGGTTGTTCAACGATCGTATTGATGGGGAAATCTCATTCAAGAATGTGCTGTGCGACCACGACTAACCAAACAATTATAATGAATAATATCTGCCTCGTAATATGTCAAGAAGAATGACATGACAATATTAAAGAATTCCTTCTTTTTCTTTCTAACTTTTTTTTTGAGTTATAACGTGGACATGAAAGAAATAAGAACAAGAACTTCTTTTATTCTGACGCGCTTTTTTAGGTAGACAAGAATAATAATTTTTACATGTAAAGTCGACGTTAAAGATAAAACTCTTCATCATTCACTCACTCTCTGTTTTCTTTATTTTTTTATTATTTTCGTCTGGAGGCTTCAATCAAAACTTGTTTCGAGCCTCTCGATGTAGTCAAATTCTCTTGTCTCCAGAGACATAATTGATGGAACCAACCAAGACGCTTTTATTGGATTGACATTCGAAGAATTCACTTCATTTCGGGATCTGTTGTTATCGCGTTGACTAATGTTTGGTAATAAATTACTCAACGATACTTTTTTTCTTTCCTTTCGTCATTCGTCTTCATAAATAACTAATTGGTATCTTTTTTGTTGTGATAATTGATCGGAGAAGGGAAGCTGAAGGAACATTTTTATGTATAAACATCGAAGTTGGAAAGAAGTTCATTTATTTTAGTGAGTTTAGAATTAATTTCGTTCACTTCGGAGAACCGCAAGGAGACGAGGCTGCAATTTCATGGTCAATTCTTATGGACAAGCAAATGATTGATGCAGTTGTTTTTGACTAAATTTGAGTAATTTGTAAATGACGTCATGGTATATTGAAATAAATGGACATGAATCATTGATGCTACATACAAAAGCAATTATCCCAAACGAAACAAATTAATCAAAAAACTCATTCTCTTCCTTCAAATAATCCTCCAATTTGTCTCAGCATTCAATTCTGACGAGAATTTAATCGCAGTTTCTCGCAATTCTATTCCGAGTCACTCGTAAGAAAGCCTCCGTTGCCTCACTTGATATTTGATGCGAATACAATAGATAAAAGCCCAAATGGGTATCCTATGGTTTTTTGTATGTTTCTTTGATTATCTCGTCTCGAACCACAAAACATCAGCAAGAAGAGAAGCATGTAGTGGAGACTAAATGAATCGAAGAATTCGTTTCATTATTTTTCTTCTTTTTCATTTCACACCAGAGCAGAGCCACAAGTGTTTAATTTTTTTCATTTTCAACTTTCGGGGTAAAGACAAATTGTTGCTTTTAAATAAATTCACTTGTTCGTGGTTACTTGAAGTTTGATATTTTCAATCGCTCACAAGTCAAAAGGTGGAAAAGGAAAAAAAATTCAGCGCAAAGACTGGCAAACAAAAAAGAAGTTTCAAAGCATAAAAAATTAAACATTATTGACAGACATAAATTGTCTTGAAAGTGATGTGGCTTCATGTGTATACAAGAGGTGAAGAAGAAATTTGATATGCCATGCTTCCTCGTCTTCTCCGATTCATGTTTTCTTTCTTTTTTCTTAATCTTACAAGCATATTCAGACGAATGAGTATGAGAAACAATTAGTAAGTAGTGCTATATGGCGTTGACCATCTCAGAATATCAATTTCCATTCAACTTTGATACCGATGGTACAAGACGTTTGGGATCTTGAAACCACATGCTGTTCGACACTCTGTTGCTCTTCGCAGGCATTTTTTCTTTTTTTTTAGTTAATGTGACTGTGACCGAATCGTTATTGTATTGTTGTTTCATGCACGTTTTTAACGCAATATGAAACTCTGCAAGAAACAACAAGGGTTTCCAATAAAAATCAGAATAAATCGAAAATGTTCAAAAGTAAATATGACAAATATATAAAAAATAAATAAACAATCGGAATTATTCAAAAGCTTGCCTTTGTTCGTCAAAAGCATTTATTTATTTTTATGGCTGCAATAAAAATTACTTGGGAAAAAGTCAATTTCACGTTATATTTTAAAGGGTCCAATTAAAAATGTTTATTTTTTTATGGCGTGTGATATATGATGATTAAATTCACAATTCTTTCTTCTTTTTCCTTCATTCTTCCTCCCGGTCATCAAGCGAATATTATATTGTTTGTGTCATCATCATTTATCGCATATCTCGCGTATAAATGTTCACCGAAATTTTTTAAAAAATTATTCAAATATATGTTGTCGCATCGCATCGCACATTAAAAGCTATCGGAAAAAAGTTTATTTATGAGACAACCTTTTATTTTCAGTCGAAGGAGAATTACGTCTATAATATGATAATAGGTTATTATAATTTTCATTAAATAATTTATTAGGTGAAACGAAAGAATTCTTTCTTCTTCCGAATATCTAAATTCGACTTCACTTGTTAAAATATTTTCGATCAAAGAGAAATAAGAAGAAGAAAAATATTCCAAGCGAGAAAAAAAAAAAAAATTGAGAGAGAAAATTTCACTCTCTGCATCGTACTAGATTGATGCTTATTGGAAAATTCCAGTAAAATTCTCTCATCAAAAAATCTCTTATTGGAAAATTTCTCTTGTGCATGATATCTGAACATTTCATGAAATTCAATCACTTGACAGAAATTATCCACATGTGAAACGTCTACAGCTGTTGCTAGTAAATTTTCCGATGAAAATTTAACAAATCTTAATAGTATTTCGTGTTCTTTTGAGAATTTACGATGATTGTAATCTAATTTTGTTATTTAGTCACCGGGACTGAATCATTTACATCTGCTTAATTAGTGTAGGCTGATGACCTTTCGTTATCGTTATGTTTTTGATTATACTGGGTCAATATTATCATCATATGATAATCATCATGTCACGCTATGACAAAAATTTATATTTCTATTCATTTTTAATTTCTTTACGACGGCATTAATTAAACCTCAACGACTAGTTAAAAAATTCTGCTTCAAGCTTGACGATAATGTCACAGATATTCGTTTTTCTTCTTTATTGAAACATTAGACTCAGCATTTCTTAATAAAACATCAGAAAGGAAATAAACTTGGGGAAAGCTATAAATCTACTGCAGCAAGAAATATATTTAAAAAAGTTTTGAAGTTCTTGAAAAGTCAATATTGAAAATTTTCAAACAAAACGTAGCAAGAAAGAGAAAAATTATCTTGAAAGAAAAGTTTGATGATATTTTGCCTAAAGATTTATTAACATCGAAATGGAAAACATTTTCCCTTCTGGTAAAACTGTAACCTTGAACGATTTTGAAAAGAGCGATGAGAAATAAGTAAGAAAGTAAAGAAGCATAATGAACTGGAAAATCGATTTTCGTTCGAACATTATTCGTCTCCAAAGTTGTTGAAGGAGAATCGTCGAAGTTTCTGTTTAAGAGCTTCGATGCTTTTAATTGGTACATAATTGGAATTCTTGCCTTTCATTGAAGTTCAAAAAAAAAGTTGTTGAAAATCTTCTTTCATTACGGTGTCGACGTCGAATGATTAAGGTTCTTGTGCTCGTACGTCTTATGAAAAATTAATTATTTCGAGGAAAATGAAATAACTTTTAGGGATCATCTTGAACATCTCGAGAGATCAAAATTTTATGGAAATAAGTTTTAACACACATTTAATGTCCTATCATTAGCTGGAGATCTTTTTAGCATTTTAATGGGACTTTGTGTACATTCATAAATCATAATTTTTGTGAATTTTCATCACATACAAACGCACACTTCTCATTCATCGAAAATTACATTCAGCAAAAGGTCACAGAGCATCGACAGACATGAAAGCTTTCATATTCAATTTATCTGACCTTTTTCTTCTTCTATGACATTTCTCCTAACGCTTCAATGTTAAAGGAAAATCCCCGAGAAAATCTAAATTTATTGTAGGCTTCACTTGGCTGTTAAATGGTCAACATGAATACTGAATTCAACTCTGGCCCAACCCGAAGATGAATGTTAAGTCATTAGTTTTAATATAATCCCTGGGAACATTTTCTCTGTTTTCCTTTTTTACTACTACGGTAAAGGCAAAAATGTTCATTCGGAAAATCAATATTTGAACTTTTATTTTTGGAAGAAAGGAGAAAAAAAATCGAAGAGATTCGTAAATTGAGCATTCTCACAACTGAACGCCAATTGATTGATCGTCCCATTGGCTTTGAAAATGAAATACGTAATGATTGCTATTTGAAATAATCATGCTTGAAGTTTCTTTTTTCTTCCTAACTTTTCATACATACACCTTCAACAATAAAAGGATTTCTTGTCGCTGTCAGAATGCTGAGTGTAATTTATGGCATTTTAAATTTTTTTTCTCACTTCTTGACTGTTATGCTCCATATAGCTGAGGTTTGTGTTCAATACATTTGATGAATTTAACGAGTGATTTCTACTGATTCCATTAAACAGAACTGAATGAGGTAAAAAAGAGAAAGTTTACTTTAAGTTTCTTAACAGAAATAAGCCATAAAACAATTCCTTAACGAAAGAAAAACTTTCAACTAAATAAAGGAAAAAAAAACGAATGAGAGAAAATAAAGAAAAATCAAGTAGAAAACTTTTACATTTTCTAGAAGGAAAATTTATTCATTCTCAAATGTTTTTGAGAGTTTGGAAAATAACTTTTGCATCCGCAAGTAAATTTTCTTTAGTTATCGTGTGGACCGAGTTTTCTTTTCTAAAACTGCAAGCAAAAGAAAATCAGCACTCGAAGAAATGTATTTTCCCTAAAAAAGTATGATGTTTTATGATTCTTCTTTGGCATGACTTTTAAGATGCAGTAAAATTATTTTTTACGTACTTTACGAACATACTTTTGATATGACGATGAATTGTGATTTAAACTTTGTTTGTTAAGCAGGAGAGACGGAAAATCTTTCAATTTTCCGCTACTTACACTGCTGTACGTACATAAGTTGGAAAATAAGAAGTAAAAAAATGAAACTCAGGTTTCCAGATATTTATGGTTCATTAAAAGTTTAAAATTTCTTCTTTTTTCCGAGAGAATTTCAGTCAGACGTTTTATGAAAAAAATAAGTTCCGTAAAATTTATTTTGAATGAAATTCTAAGCGACTATCATTATTAATGCATTAAGGAATTTGTATTTCATCTATCAATTAACGACATGGAAAGTTTTCATATTCTAAGCATCAGTGAACAGGTTCAAAGGAGGCAAAACTATTTATAAATGTACGAAAAATGTAATCAAACTTCTCCTAGAATCGAAAATCTTTCTCACACCACAATCACGTTTTGTAATCAATAAAATGTAGAAACTGAAACTTTCTCATCATCTTTGTTTCTATTGTCATAGTGAAATCCCAGACGTATAAAGACATGCTACAGACACAATAAAATTTTCTTTCTTATTCTCATTGCGGAAAATTCTGAGGTTCTGTGGTATTGAATTCAATTCTCCCGTTCATCCTTCTACTTTGTTTCTTTCATCATGTTTGGGTGAAAATTTGTGAAATTGCGAGAACTCAACAACACACATTTGTTGCTGAGTAAATATGGAAGAAAAATTCTTTAATTACTTTATACGATCAAATGGGCTTGTTTCAAGCTCTCCCCCTATCTTCACACATTGGACTCGGGCATAATGGATGGTAATTTTCTCTCCACAGGTCATTTAGTAATTAAAGAATATGTGCCCATGAGTTGCGTTCTCTATTGTGTAGTAAGCGGCCGCAGATTTAAGTTGGAAAACGTCGTTTCTACTGTTAAATAACTGTAATTATGTATTTTCATTCGCGCGACGACTGAAATGCAAGAAAGCTTTTATAAAGGATGAAAAAATCGATTTCTTTCCGTTTCCTTAATACCCAAGAGGGATTAGACGTTGAATATTTCATGCGAATTATGTGTTTGAACCTCGTGAAATGAGTTCATCGGAAAAAATACTTCAAGGATTTAAGGTGAAACATTGTCAAAGATTTATGTGTAAGGAATTGATCTATAATTATAAAATGTACAAATTATCCACCATAATTCTCCTTCATAAATTTTCCGTTTTACAAGAAATAAAAAATTCTTCTTTGTTTTCCTATTTTCTTATCATTTCCACCGTGATTCATGTAAAAATTCGATGTAATAAAAAGCAAATTAGCTGAAATATTTAAACTACAAGCAGAAAACCTATCGGGAAAGAAATTATTTATGCAAAATAATTACAATCGTTTCATGCATAATTCAATGTTCATTTCGTTGAAGTATCATGGTAAAAAAGAGTGAGGGGAGCAAGCGCGTCGTTAAAGCAATTGCATTTATAAACTTCTCGAGGGTCGTTGAGCGACTATAATTGGGTGAATTAAAATTAAATATTATGAAGTTCTATTGTTTTATTAGAGTGCAATGAGAACATCAAGCCGGGAGCTAAATTATGAAAACGTAAACATAACAACGATGATTAAAAACAAATATTTTGGTTTGGTTAGTGGAGAAATCAAAAAGCAATTTAAACAGCAGTGGTCGTTAATTTTGGTGCCATTAAAGGCATGACCACGTCGTAGATCATAAAAACATGCAAGACTTTAGAGTGTTGATTAATGACACTAAACTATAATTAACCATTTGAAGTTAGCAATTAATGGTCACATACTTAACGAAGTAATAATCACATGTTGGAAACTATAGACGCGACCACCCGTAGTTTCTGCTACTTACATGCCTCTAAAGCTTCTTCTTTGAGAGTAAATTGCAGTCATGGAAGAGCCATATGACTTAATTAATGACAACATAGGATTTGTCCAACGATTGCATTAAAGCAAATAAATATTCTTTAACGACTCATAAAATGAGATTGTGGAAAGCAAGCGACCGTTTTTGTTAGATGTTTGTTTTAGTTAATTTTCGCCACTAAACACGTTAAATCATCATGTCTATTTATTCCAAAAGAGATACTCGAGTCGATATTAACAGCCCATCGTAAATAATAAAAAGCAAACGACAGCAAAGAGAGAGAAAAGGAAAAGACAGTAAAGAACGAGTCTGATTAATTGCTTGTTTATTTAATTACGAAATGTTTTATTTGCTGAGATTCGGGAAAGGCATCCATTACCTTGTTTACATTATTTCAAGTCGATCGAGTCTGGTCTCGTATTGGTTTGGTGTGTAGGAGTTTAATTGCATGTGCAATTTTAATTATCCAAAGGGAAAAGTTTAAGCCGAACTTGTTGTGCGATTTATGTCGTCAAGAAACGAACTCTGCAATTAAATGAACATGACAAAATCACTCGACATAAATCTGCTTTTAACGAAAGACATTCAAAGATGAAGAAAGAATAAAAAGTTTCCCATCGACCTACATGAGCGTGCCCAGGAATTCTATCGAATGTCTGCGTTATCATTGATCTTCCTTCTCTTCTCCTTTTCGATTCAACTCAAGTCGCATATTCAGTACAAGGCGAGGGCACTTGTGAGTGGAATTTCAAAGAAATTCATTTTTTAATATTCTCGTTCATCGTTCTTCGTACTCGTTTCGAGATCTGTTAGATGCTAAATGTCAAACATCCACTTAATGGAATAAACTTTTCTTTCCACCATAATATAACTCATTTATCACTGATGTTTTCGTTTTCCTTTCCTCCTGTTCCACTTTACCCAACATCCTTCACTTTCAGAAGAATTATTTCACTTCTAGCATCGACCAAGTAGAGTCGTTTGCATGTTGAATGAATAAAAAACTGAATGATAATTTCATGTAAATTTTCAATTTCATTTTCTCATACTTTGCTTCTTATAAAGTGAACTCATTCTACTAGTTTTTCCTGATTTGATGAATGTTGCAGTGAAATTCTTAGTTAAAAAAAGTGAAGGAACAAGAATAAAGTTTCGCAAGTTAGACTATTAAGTCATCAGTAATCTGGTTGCAAGTGACAGACTAGAAATTTAATTTTACGCCACAACTTTCTTCATGTTCACCTTCGTTCTAGACCACAAGATAGAAAACTTTTTCCTTGTCTCCTTCGTACTTTTCTTTACCGCTTTCGATTTACGTTTCCAATAAGAAAATCTTAAACGATGTCTATGATGTTTAAATTGACAATCTTTCGTTGAATATGTACTCGTCTCAGATTGTCAAGTTCTAAAAATATCATCTTATACAGTTCTTGAAATATTTATTCAGAATAAGGAAATAAAAAGAAGACGAAATGTATTGAAAGTAGATATTCGTTTTCGTCATCTATTGTCAAGTGCCGCTTTCAGTTCACTCCAAAGTCATGCGAGCGTGTGAGTGGCTTTTGCAAATATTTACGTTTTCTGATAAGATGTTTTATTTAAGGAATGCTATACATGATACTTTTGCTCCTTGAGATTGCTTTTAGCACGTTGCGCTGTGGGGAAGGTTAGAAAAAGAAAAACTTTACTTCTGTTCCCCTCTCGTTACTGTTGTCGAATTTAATTCATCGTCATACATGTTGATGATGTTTGTCAGTAATCTCCATGTATGCATAAAAAAGTGTAATCAAATATTTAACCCACACATGGATTGCGGAAGTTTTTCTTCACTCTATGCTGTGAAGTTGATGATAAAATTTGACGGTTAAAGGCGACACTTTCTACTTTTCTTTCGCTTTTCTTTCTAAACACCCGTGATTCAAGTTTACGTTATCTATTCTAAAAAACCTTTTTGCATAATTTTTTTCCTACTCGTAGAACATTCTGTAATGCTGTCGATAAAATATTTACCGAAATTTGAATTTCTATTAGCACATGAGACGAGGGATGTGCTTTTTTCTTCATTTTCTAAAGTTTTATGAGAATAACTCAGCCCGTGACGAGGTTGAAGAATCTTTTTATACAAACAAGTATCTGGGATGGATATTTTTTGTATACATGTTGAGGATTTTCTTCTCTCAGCTTGACCATTTGAAGATGAAAGATTTTCCTTTATCTTAGCATCTAACAGAGCTGCCACAAAAGGTTCAGCTTCCTTCACTTTATAAATGCTTTCGTTTGATTACATTTTAATAATTTTATTTAAAGCTTTATTCTCGTTGAGCTTTTCAAAATGAAAAAGAATATTTTAAAGACAAAGAAACTTTTCATCGATATTTCATTTTCTAAAGAGATGAAGAAATTCTCTTCTTTCTACTTTTATTTCTTTCATCAATCAGCAAGAATTTTATGCTCAGTTTGAATTAAAAATTCATGTCAAAGAGTTGGACAGCATCAAAGAAATTGCAACTAAAAGGAATTTAAAAATTCTTTTATTGCTTGACTTGCACTATTGAACAATAGAATTTATATGGAATTTCTTCAGAAATACTTTTCATCCTTTACAGACGGATATTTGTTAGATATCTCACTTCATTCCACCTTTTAGCCTTCACGTACAATTTTCCCCCACTGTCAGTTTGACGAGTAAAATTCTTGGAACATTTAAAATGATTTTCATGTTCTTCTCAGCTTTTTTTGCTACTTCGTTTCTTGGTTCCTTTTTCCTTGTTGCAGTTGCTATCATTCGTTGTCCTATTTTTATTTTCATACTTCGTACACTTCAAGAGTAAATAACTTGACGTCCGAAAATATTTTTATAGTCTGAGTGCCCAACATAACATCATGGAAATATTTTTTATTAAAAACTGGGGGAGAAGTTATAGTTTGCATTACCAACATAAACATTCAAGGATATTCTAAGTTTATTTAAAAAAAAAATATTTGTGAGACTTATTGGATAGAAGCATTTATGAAAATATCACAGATGCGTCTTAAATGCTCTTTTTTTCCAATAAATAAGACGAGAAATATTTTATCCAACTCTTTATTTAGTTTTATTCAAATATCCCTTACAACATTATTTACATAGAAATTAAAAATATGTCCGATAATCGCCAAACAACCGCCGTTGTTATGAATACTAATGACCTGTTTAACAGTCGTTTTCTTTCTATTGCGTAATAGTTATCGCTTGAAAGAAATCGTTGTCAGGTAAACTTTCATTTCCACACGATTCCGAGGGTAGATCGCATCTACAAGAATTGAAATTACAAGTTAATTCAAGAGGGATATCAATGACGGTTGTTTGCATTTTAAATTTATTTCTTCAAGACATTCACCAGCGAAAGTAAGATCGAGGGTCGAGTATGAATAAAGAAAAAACAGAAGATATTCTTTACTCTAAGTTAATGTCGCTCAACTTCTTTGTTCTTTACTTTATTACTCAAAAGCACGATCAACATTGTAGAAAGAAGTTCATAAAACGTTGACTTAAATCCACTAAATTAACATAAAAATGACTTCTTACTCACGTCAGATTAAACTCCATTTCAATTGTTAATTTCATAAATACATCCAATTGGCCCACACTTTTTCTCATTCAGCGCATTTAATCCGCTCATGTGCTCGAGTCGCTTTATGTTCTTTCAAGAATGACACAGCGAAAGAGAACGAAAAGTAAGAAATGAAGAAATAAAATGTTGAGAATTCCTTTCAAGTCTTTAATCTCACAGATCGTTTCTGATAAAGCTTTGAAACGTCTTTGAGACGTTTATTTTTAAATAACAATAAAATAGCCAAAAAGTAAGAGAAGGCAAAGTGAAATTGATGAGGGAGACTCATGAAAAAACATGTGTAATACCTTACTCAGTCTCATAAAATGAATTCTAGAGCCCATAAAAATATCAATTCCAGGCTTCTAATGGCTTTTAAATTGGATTTTTTGATGTTGATACGTGATATTTAATCCTTTTGTTCTTTGTCAATGGATCCACCGGGCTCGTTAAAATACAACTAAAATGAATGGCCTTAATTTGAGTGGATTTATCGCTAATATCAAGCAAATTACATTTAATTAAAATGATTAATTTTCACTTCTGTTGTTTCACTTGTGTCGTATTGTATGAAATTGCGTATCTACCGGTCGAAGTTTACAGCAAATATGCGGGACAATGTTTAGAATTCTTAAAGGAATTTCTTCAACAATGTCTTTTGGAGATTTCATTACTGTAATTTAACAAAATATGCGACTCTGCACCATACAAGAAAATAACTTTACAAAGATAAAATAAAAAGTTTCATTGTTGGTAATGTTTATGGATTAAAAGTTTTAATACTTCCCTTTAACTATCCACAACTATTCACAAAAAGTAACGCACTATGTTCATTAAAGCCACGATTGTTTTCGGAATAAACGATTTCGCCTTGAACTGCTGGTTCAGTGAAAAATGCTTTTGATATTCTTTACGAATGATTTCCGGGAACAACACATGAGTATTAAAACGAAGTAGCAAAGTGCAATCGAAATAAAAAACATTCCTCGACTCAGTGAACATTCAGAGCTCATTAATTTCTCGAAACTGAATAATAAAAAAATGACACCGAAGACGAATGAAATGAATATTGTTCACATTCGACAGTATCTGGATAAAAAGTGACACGAGAGGACCTGCAGCTGTAATGTGTTGTTTGTTCCATCGGATTACAACGAAGTTAGAGGGTTCGACTTTTCCCACTGAGATGATGAATGATCGTGGATTAGAAATCAACTTTTTGGTGGCATTGCTATTACTCAAATCTAGAATCAAATGAATATTCTATCCATCATCGCATCCATTTCCACTCGAATGAATTATTTATTCGTGGTAAAACTTGTTTCTGACGAGATGTGCCTTCGAACTGCTTGAATATATTATCACACTTATCACGAATTGAGGGAAACTTCCAGTAATGAGAATCAATTAATCATAAGTCTAATATTGCAAGACTCAAACAAAGCATATTTTATCATTTCGATATCATGGTTTTCAAACACAAGTTTTACCGTGCCAGAAAGTTACAACGGAAGCGAAAGCAATTAATTATTATTTTTCATCATCACGTTGTCATTCAATTCATTCATTCTCGCCGCTGGTCATTCTATTTTTAATTGAACCAATTATGAGATATTTTGTTTCTTTAAGGGGCTTCACGACATTGTCTAACATTCGAGATGACTTTTGGGACGAATAAATGATGAAAACAAAAGTATTTTTAGATGATGAATATTTAAAGAGGTCTAAAAGGATCGCGTGCCGCACTTAATAATGTTGAATTTTAAATGGAGGAAGACCCAACGACGAGCATCAAATTGATTTAAAGATTCTCGTGGCAATTCACAAACTTTTACGAACAATTCATCAATCGATGTAATGTTCAATTTAATTATGAGTCTGCAGAAAACTTTTAGCCTTTTTATGGCGTATTTTACTCTCGACAGAATTGAAATTAATTGCTAATTATTTTTTTTCCATCCCTTAAGTGCCAAAAGAATAATAAAAGTAACAATGAAACGAAGTGAAGCCGATAATGATTTTTAATTGCAAGTATTGTGGCAATAAATTTGTTGCTATTAGTCAAGCCAGCCACTTTAGATGGTGTTGCCTTCATTGCACCTCATTAAGTATGAGGCTTCATGGATTTTTTGAGTGAAAAAGAAATCAACAAAGTCATCAACAAGCCATTATCGCCTTTTCAGCTTCACAAAAAGACAGAAAAAATGTCATAAAATATTTTAATTAAAACTTTTCTTTTCTTCTCTTTATTCGCAAATCGAGCCGACAAACTGGAAAAAAACATAAAAATTTAAATGATGTTGTGCAATGCTTTATGATGTAATCATCACATTTTCCTTTCTTTTTTGTTTGTTTATCTCTTGGTGCTGTAAAGATGAGGGAAATGATGAATTGATGTAATAAATTGCGAAAGAAAGAAAACAACAAAACAAGAAATCATCTTTTAGCTGATCTCGTAGCATTGATAAGCGATGCACAATTGCCTGCAGGATTACATTCTTTACTTTTATGTTTGAACCCTCGCTCAACTGTCAGCTTTTTACACGATATTAATAATATTTTTTATGATACTGCTTGGGATGAAGCGAGATTCCGTCATGTTTTGCTTTTGTTTAGATTAAAAGTCAACAAATCTTCCACTCAATTTACTTTGAAGAGTCACATAACTTATAAACGCATTTCGAAGTCTACAAAAAAATATTTATTGACAATAAATGCAGAACTCACTACTGAACATTAATTTCCATTCTCAAGGGTTCAAATTTATGATCAGGAAGTTTTTGAATCTGAAATGATCAAAGTGTCGTGAGTGTGTTCGTTTTTTTCTTTCTCTTTATTGTGTTATTACTTACTCACTCACTACAAGGCAATGTCTCTTCCGTATCGATGTCTATTGTTGAGGACGAGATATATCATTGCCCAATTTATCATTTAAGCGGATCCGACGTTTAAGGGGATGTAAAGTTTGATTTATTTCCTGTGTTTAACTACATTCACTTTACTGATTGTATGTGTTTGTTTATGCATAAAACTTTAATGTTCGAATCATTTTATTGATTTTTCTTCACTCATTTCGTAAACAAAGATCGTAATTGTATACCTATGTAATTAATTTATTTATGATGTTAATCATTAATTTTTAATAACTCGATGCAAACAGACTTCTCGAGTCCACATCAATCAAACATTTTGAACATCGGTTCCCACACCAAACGTGATGTTTGCCCGGGGATAAAATTTATTAAAATTATTTCACGGGCAAATGTTGATGGAGGTTAATAAACATTTTATGAGTGCAAATTTTACTGATAAAACATAACAGAAAACACTCTAAAATCTCCCCTCAGGTGCACTTTGAGGGGAACAAAATAAATTTAAGCAAGCAAACAGTTTTTTTTGTTCTCGTCATCATCATCATTACTAGAACAAGCGCTTGTGGACAGCCAACGATATAAATATTGCATTTTGGCATTATAATGACAATATCGTCGCTTTGCAAATGCATAAATTAATTGAATTTAATGTGCTCACGACAATGTAATTTATGAAATTCCCTCAAAACATTCACAATTTTGGTGAATAATCGAGTGAGAATTTTAATTTTTTTTCTCTTTTTGTTTTCCCCTTCAAATTGTTTGAACACTGAAATAATTTTGCACTTCTTTTAACATGACATTAAAAAATTTAATTGCGTTTTCATTAAAACATTTAATTAGAATTTTTAATAATTTTGTCATTGACATTTAATGACATATTTGATGACAACAGTTAATAGTTTGATGTCAAAATTTGTTATGCAAACTGCAGACTAATAAATGTTTCGAAATTCCTTCGGTCAGCTTTGTTATCAAGCATCAACCTTATGAATTTTTACAGTGATCACAAACCTGCAACCCTGACGAAACACTCCAAATGAATATCCACAAACAACCTGAACAATCCCGGGACCATATTTCACTTTGCTGAAAAATTTCATATTCTTCCCTCCACACCTAAACGTGCTATTCGTTGATTCTTGTTTGCGATGAATGCTTTTTGTGGTTAAAAGTTCGAGTGTGTGAATGAATTTTATTTTTAGTGGTAAAAAATTTCCATAACTACATAGGAGAGTCAGCGAATGTGTATAAGAAATTGTGATGTGAACATAAAATGGATACGATGAGAGTGGAAAGGTTGATAAAAGCCGAATACCTCAGAGTTTTGCGTGAGTTCAATTTTATTTTTAATCTACATGATAGACTTATGCACATTACTCTTTCCTTGTTTATTTGCTTTCCTTCTTTTATAACTTTTGCGATGGCAAGCATGGATGGATGTAGTTTATAAGCCATATTTTTTAATGATATTTGCTGAAAAGTTTCAATAACATTTCACCGACAACTTCAAATTTTCACTCATTCAAACTTTAATGGAACATTTTACTTACTTATGAAATATCACGCCCGCATTTAGTGCAATGACATGTCACATATATTAAAGATCATAACGAGGTGTTAACGGAATATTAATGTTAAGGGACTGGAAACCCATATTTGTACGCACCATGAGCTTGTCACTCTTCACATTAGCATCAGTTGATGCTTTCTGAATTCTAATAAGAAACTCGGATATATGTAAGAAAATCTTTGACCTGATGAAATACTTTTCCGGCGATAAAGTCTTGACGAGATCCTCGTCCTTAATTACGGAAAATATTTTCCCGTTCGTTTACGATGCTTCCGGAGAAAAATTGATGAAAATTTATCTTGAAGAAAAGATATTTACAAGAAAATTATTCTGAAGATAAAGATGCCACCTCAAGGGATGGCAATGAAAAATGCACACATCCAGTGTCTTAAAGACATCATTATTACATCATAAATTAAGTAAAAAAACCGTCTCTTCTTATATCTCTTATGGCGTTTAATTTCCTTTTAATGTTCTAAGACATTTATTACAGTTGTTGTATCGGTGTCGAAGATAAAAGAAGCAAATTTCATGCCCCCGCATAGTAAACAAATCGGAATGAATGAATACTTTTGTCTCCTACGTTTTTATGACTCTAAATGTGTATACACAAATAGCAATGAGTGTCTCGAACCTCGAGTGCTTTCTAAACAAAACATAATTAAAAGGGGTTGAGATGAGATTCACAAATTTAATGTTGGATAAAATGTGATAGAACGAGAGACAAAGAGGAAAATCGTTTAATTTCTTAGTAAAGCAACTTCAGTTTTGAAATGAGAGAAATGAATGAAATGAAATAAAGACATGGGATGAGAAAAAGTTATTAAATTAATCAAAAACGTTAAATTGAGTCTCATATGGGTTGATAACTCATAAAAAGGTTTTATTGTCAGATAAATTCATGACGAAATTTGTTTTTATTTTGTGTAGAATTTTAAAAGTCATCAAATCTTCTTTTCACATAAAATTTTCAAAAGTTCTTGCTTTGACTATGACAAGTAGTTTAAATAATTGTGAGACCAGACTTTACTATTCAATTGCATGTTTTACTATCAAATATAAATGAAAATTTGACCTGTTCAAATAATTAAAGTTTTATTTCATTTATCCAGGTAGTGGGTGTAAAATTCTGTTGTTATTGACTTCATACTCGTAAAGTGTTTTCACACGATAACGTTTTTTGTTCGAAGTACTTTGAAATTCAAATGTTAGTGCAATTGGCGATCCATTTCTCGAAAGCTTCGAATGAAGAAATAAATATTTTTATATAATTCTAAATTGAAAAAAGATGAGAAATTGATAGCCAAACAACTGTATAGAGAAATATTTAAATGTATCAGCAGAACTTTTGATTGCTAAACTGAAAAGATAAAATAAAATTACTTCCTGGTCATCAAAATATCATGACTAGCTCGATCCTCGTTATGACATTAATATGAGAATTTACAAAGCAACCTAATGTAATTGTAATTGTAATCAATCAAACTCTTTTAATGAAAATTTCCCAAACACTGGCAACGAAAGATGTCTTTTTGTTCTTAAACTTTCCAACCACTCGAATTTTAATACACGCTTTAGAAGGTGACCCAGAAGGAAGAAAATTGTCTGGAAAAGAAAAATTCCAAAATCCAAAATGGCCCTAAAATGAAAGTTTTGATTTCATTTTATAAATCTTTTGACAAATCGTTTTGCTTACCTTTTTTAAGGGCATTGTAATGTTACTTGTTTTGAAAATATTTCGAGTAATCATCTCGACTATTGAGTTGCCATAAACTCCACTTGACATTTTCTCAAGATCAAGAGCTGTTCTGAAGAATTCTCGTTTATATGATTGATCATTGCTGTTTTCTGGAAAGCTAACTCCAACGTAAAGTTTTATTTTCGTCAAATCGCCAAAGTTCTCGAATGTGACATTCAAAACTGTTGCATGAACGCCGTCATTTCCAAGTGCGAATGAAATATTTGTAATATTTTTATCGAAGTCAATGTTCATCCGGTCGACTATAATTACGGAATGCTTAAAACAAATAAAGTTAAAGAAGTTAAATAAAGTTAAAGAACAGCAAAGATGTTAAACACTTTTCTTACAATTTTATAAACTAACAATAGCAGGGTCAAAAGAGATTCACAACTTCTCATGTCGACACAATTTTCAATACTTTTGTACCTCACCTCATCAAGCTAAATGTCATTAAAATTTTGAGTTAAATGTTTAATCGTTTGGAAAAAAACAAATTAAGGTACATAATAAAGAAAAGTGGAAAATTTAAATTTAAATATTTTTATTTTATTCGACATATTCACAGTTTACGAATTTTTGTTGATTGATGAAATTATTTTGATAATTTATGTATGAAATATGATTGTTATTTTATAATTTATTTGTAAATACCCAGAAAATACAATAAGAACATTTTTAAACACAATCATAGACCAGCAGCCAAACTTTTCCGTCAAATATTTATAAAACTCTTCTGATGTAGGCTTCCCATGTGCTGCTGTGAAAAGAACCTTTAAAGCCTTTCATTTTAACAACTAATCGATTTCTTATTAAAGCTCTTGATGGAAGGAAAAAAGGAAGAATTGCATCAGGCATTGAAAAGTTTCAAAAAGCATAATGACCCTGAAATAAAAAATAATTAAATATACGGATGTAATATGAATCTTGGGAAAAAATTGTTTTCACCTTTTTCAGAGGCATTTTAAAGAAGTTTGACGTTAGCGACATTTTTCGAATAAGTTTTTCAAGAATTGAGTTTCCATAAATTCCCTTTGATATTCTTTCAAGATCAAAAGATGTTTTGAAATATTCCCTGGTATAACGCAGATCACTATCACTTGCAGGCAATACAAATTCAAAGAAATCTTTCAATTTAGTAACGTCATGATAGGCATGAAACGATGCATTAAGTATAGTGGAATGTATTCCATCGTTTTCGAATGTGTATGAACAATTTGTGAATGACTCATTGAAATTAATTTTAATTCGATCAATCATTATCGCAGATTGCTGTAATTGATGTGAAAATTTTAAACTTATTATTGAACTTAAATCCTCAGGTACAAAACATAAATTCTTTTACTGTTAAATCCAAGTTAAAGGAAAAGAAAATTAATACGAAAATTACAAACTCAATATTTCTCATTTTAAATTCTTTTATCCTTCTACATGCGTTGTAAACTAAATTACATTTAAATGAAAGTTTGTAATGCGTAATGGCTGTTGGATGGATCAGCTTCACACTCAAATGATTCTTTTATCTTAATGATTTTTTCAATCAGGGAATTCTCAAATCACCTTCTGTGGTTTATAAGCGCCAACAAAGTTACTTCTTTATTATTATTCATTTATGATTACAAAATCAAAATAAAATAATATTAAAAGTTCTCTTAAATTAAATTCGCTTAACGAAATATTCCCACGTGCTTCCATGCACTGATTTCTTTTCTCCTTTGGTCTTTCCGTCTATAAGGCAATGTAAATAAGCTCTCGATGGTAGACCAAAAGGTAAAATAATGTCAGGAAGGGAAAAATTATAAACGACGTAACGACCCTAATAAAATTGAAATATTTTTAAGTTTTCTCTTAACAGACAAATTCATCATAGTAACTCACTTCTTTTACAGGCATTGTTATTTTGGTTTCTTTAAGAAAACTTCTTCCTATTTTCTCCGTTATCGAATTTCCGAAAACTCCTTTGAATATTTTTCCAAAATCCAATGAAGTTTTGAAATATTGTCGCTTATATCCTCGATCTCTCTCATTTTCCGGACAATTGATGCTGCATATGAGCCTAGCTTTGACGATTTCGAAGAAATAATCCATCGTAATGTGCAACAAAGTAGGATGAACGCCATCATTTACAAGCACGTATGATATGTTTGTCAACGTTTTATTGAACGACACTTTTAAATCAGTGATAATGATGACTGAATGCTATTATAAATCACATTCTAAATTAAACAGAAATTAATTAAAATTATTAAATATTACACTTTTGTATGTCAACGCCATAACAGCAATCAATAAAAACGAACAGATTCTCATGCTGATCCCAAGCGACTATTCTCTTTAACAAATAAAAATTCATAGTTACAATCGATCATAATAATGACATTATAACTGAAGGAAATTGAAGCAAAATTATCAGATATAGGCAGGGGTCGGAAGCCGAAGCGGTAGCGGAAGCTGGAAGCTTAAAGAAGCTCAACTTTTTGAGAAGCCGAAGCGGAAGCTTGGAAGCTTTTTCAGAATTTTGGGAAGCCGAAGCGGAAGCTTAGAAGCTTTTTGCGAAAAATCGTTAAGCTTCCGACCCCTGGATATAGGTAAATGAGTTCTCAATTTTAACTGAAAAATGAGTTAAACAAATTGCAATAAAAATGTTCTTTTCTAACTTTTAACTTCAGTTGAAATTTGAAATAAAAAGCTTTAAAACAACTCAAAACGTATCTATGTAGACAATACTTATGTGATTAATTAAAAGATATTGAATGTCAATACTTTATTTTAAACAACTGCAAAATTAATTAATTTGGCGACACCAATTATCAATTTTCCTTTTTATATTTTTTCGATAAATTTCCTACGAGTTTCCATTCAATGACTTCTTCTGTCCTAAATCTTTACTATTAAAATACATTCAACTTAAGCTTAAGAGAGTTTAAGAGTTTAACTGTTTAACGTTTTTGAATGTTATTAGATCATCTCACCCAGGGGGGAAAAGCCGAAGTGGAAGCTAGAAGCTTTCAGCAAAAAATCGTTAAGCTTCCGACTCCTGATCTCACCTTCTGTAGAGGAATTGACAATAATTTTTCGTTTTGATCAAGTTTTTTGTTACATTTTCCAATTAAGTGTTTCCAAAAAAAATCAGT